CATTTGTGAGCCGGAAATTCAATGCTTGAAACTGACTTTTAACTGTTCATCTGACGTCTTCGTAACTGGTAGTCAACATATAGAAAATACTATCTTTTTTAAACACGCCTCCTCACTTGGACAATGATGCATGCTACCGGTTACACTGGAGTAATTCTCTACCGCCTAAAATTGCCAATTAATGACATGTTTGGTGTGAAAGTAACACACTTGCGGCAAATAAACTTACATCATTATTTGCCGGTATGTCGATGCTGTTAAGAAGCAAGTGATGTTAGTGCTCCGATATTTTGCTGTGTTTTGTCACGATCCTTTATCAACAGTAGCTGAAAAAATTACTAATAATAGGAGCGTCTAAGGGGGTAAGATACAGTGTACGTCAGTCTGGTTCCATGTAGTTAGTGAATACCACCCGTAAAGTTAGACTGGATGAAGCTGCGTTTTTTAGAATTCTTTCCACCGCTTACCACCATGGAATCAACCTCTAATTTGACGTTGTTCAAAAAAGGCACATGAATATTCAGTGTGTGCACGTGCATTTGCAACGGCAGGCCACGGTTAATAGTTCATCTATTTTTCCCTTCACCAACCTGGCGATTATCTTTAATGACTACCTGCAAACACTAATGCATGGGCATCTATGGAACAAGACAAACCAAACCCATGGGAGTATGTGAGTAGGCGAATCCCCTTCTGTTCATCTCCTGTTACTAGACGATGCTAAATTCCCATCCAGAGCAGTAAGCCAATGAAACAGACCGCCTCCTTCGCCCCACCAAGGTAAACTACGCTGTCCTGTTGACAGGTAGCAGAGAAGTAGTTCCGGAATAGCCTCACCTATGGGCGGGGCTGGAGGATGGCATTCAAATGTTAGTTGTCCTCAAGGTACTCATTTGGCAGCATTTATATGCGGATACCATCTTGACAAGTGTCTTCAGATAAGTAATCATAGAATGTATAGCACTGATTAAGAGAGATTTCAGCTGCCTTATTTTTCAAGTCACTCTACGTGATGGTATCTTTTAATTAGGCCACTCGAGCACCATACAGATCGAAAGGGATGTTATGCGAATTGTTAAAATCGGTGGATAAGATTATCCATTTCCGCCCTTTACAGTTCACCTTTAAAACATCAACTATATGCAATGTAACCATCGGAATAGTTAGTGCGGTAAGCTAACTAAAAGACCCAGGGTACGGCTGATAAAGAAGGTATCACTTAGCGACTATACGTATTGGTTCTTCTGGGGTTGAGTCCATTAGAATCCGCGTTAGTGCAAGCAGCGTAGACACTAGGCAAACAACGCACCGAGATAATTCTATTACAAGATATCCAAGCCATCGTCAACAGACCGATATCATGCGTATTTCCCAGACCCACATTTAGGAGTAAGTGTGCAGTCGGAATAATTTTATTACCGTGTCATAATCTGAGGCTTGGAAGTGGCGCCGCCGCACATATCAGTTTGGCTTTTTTAAGACACGCAGTTACCTCTACGAATTGGCAATGACAAATGAAATGGAACATCGAGAGTCGTCTCAATGCTGAATTCCCTTTGTTGTTGACGTAATATTTAAGGAGTGCAGTTTTCGGGTGGGCAACAATCAATATCCAGCTGCTGCATCAGTTACGGTCACAGCGGTGGAATTAAGCAACGTTCACTTCAATGGGAATCGCGGCCTGCATTGAGATCGCACGTCATATTAGCAAGACGAGGGATGCAAAGTGAACCACCAATTAGTGCTAGACGGCAATCTTCGTTAAACGTGATTATTCTCAGATAAATGATCATCTGTATGGTAATGGTGACGAAGTTGTGTACATTTGAGCGAAATGCCAACTTTTTGAAGTCGCCAAGATGTACGAGTATTAGTCACGCGCCTCTAGCTTAACACCGACAGTGTTCGTCCATACTTGATCTATTCCTGCTGACAGAGTGCCGTAATTACGCTGGTTATGTAAAGTGGGAACGTAGACAGATCACAAGGGGCCGCACCCGGTGAACATTGACAAACCGTTACGATGTCGATTTTGCACATTTGGATGTTGCTCCCCCCAACGCTGCTGACATCGTTGCAACCCTGGATAGCAACATTGAAACACCTTCATTTCGGAGGCGGTGTTTGTGATCTGAATGACTGAGATCTACTTCAAAGTGAACCTAGGTCTCAATAGAGATTGCGTGTCGCAATCCAACCACACGGCGGATACTTCAAATCCAACTATGATCATTTCGAATTTTGTTCACGTGAGCAGTCTCAAAAGCACCGTGTCTGGCGCCGAAGCTCCCAGTTCGACAGTTAAATAGACATTAAATACAATCGGCAAAAGTGGGACTTTCCTAACAAACCAAGTCCTGGGCAAGTTTACCGCCTGATAACTAAGGTGTACATGTCAAGACGGAAAAGATTATTTTTGCTTTCAGTAAGATAGAAAATTTCGGTATTTGTGTTCTCCAAACAACTTGAAAATTTTTCTATTATGACTAAACTACAGCCATTTTCCATTGCACTCAGCCGAAATCTTGAATTTGTGTGCTTTCTAGAGTTTACCTACAATCTCTTTCATACAGCCAAGCATGAAGCGGCGTTGTCCTCAGTCTTGATGAAGTTGAGAAACATGAATTTGCTTATTGTTTCGATTTAATGTTCCTGCTTGTGAGCAGTCAAAATTCCCGTAATGTTAGGTGCGAGCGTCAGCGTCAGGTTATGATTAAAACGTATCATTTTTGTTTCTTTTACTTACCTTCTGCACAGGCTTAATATGCCATCGCACCCATTGGCATATAAAATGTCTGATCATTAATCCTTTCTTGGTCCTAATGCTGACACGGAAGGATGGTGTTAACACTATTCCGTACTTTCAGTTCGCATGGGTGTAAAGCGCTGCCCACCGGTTAGCACCAGACTACGGATTTAACAAGATTGGGATAATAATTTAGCCTCGTTCGCATTCGTACTCTATTCTGGATGCACCTGAGAAGAACTGGTGGTAAGTACAACATTGTATGGACCCAGCATACGCAAATTGTAAGTTACTTGATTGACTAATTATTTTCCGACCTGACAGAACTGGTTGAACACTGTTACAACATCCGTCACCTCACTGTTTCGGCTCTGTGTCTAAACAGCTCAGTGCCTGTGGTCAAGTGTTACAGTCTGTCACTTTGACTTCTGCTGCGCTAATCCATCGAAGAAGTTGAGTTTGTGAGTGCATCGGCTCCACGACAATCGGTTGGTCATGTCCACATTTCATTTACATGTCTCACTGGTTGCAGTACTTTGCTGGTGTCGGAGGCGGAGCAGTTGATATTGTGAGTGACGAATCCGGTCGAATGCTGCCTCTGGGCCAATCGGGAGCTCAGTTTATTTGTGAGATAGGGACAAGCACATGGCCAATCCGCCGACAGAGAATTGAATGTGCCGGTAAAGCTGAACACAAGGGGAGAGGGTCCTTCACTATGGAGCAGCCAATCAGTTCCGCTCGAGCAGACGTGTTTCAGGCCAGGGGCAGAGTGGCCGCATCAGGAAATACAGATGCAGTGCATCCAAGAGGAGGGTAGTGCGGACCAGAAGCAAGGATGGCTTGACGATGCGACTGGTAAGCCCTCAACATAGCGCAGATGAAGCCACATTTTTGGACAACGTTTGGACGGAATCCGTACCAAAGTAAGCAAAATGAATTACGAAATATCCCTTCATAACCTGTTGAGTTTGGCGATTGATGCATGGTGGTAAATACTAAATGATTTCTAACTTGAGGTCTACCTTGTACTAATTGAGCTCAGTTCAACTATAGGCGTGGATCACACACTACCGCTTCTTTTACCTAGTATGAACAATTTCCTAAGGGCGTACCGACTGTGCTCGGCAAACTGGGGTATCCGTTCTCTGCTATATGTGGGAGATATACTGGGCTAGTTTCAACAACTTAAACGGTGTACTAACGGGCTCTGACTGTCAGCACAGGGTGGTCGCGCGAAACACTATAGTGTCCCATATTCGACGTATGAGAACTCAGTCAACATACACCCTGAAATAAACCCCGTACTTCCGTCCATTCAACCTACCAAACATCATATAGGTTAGAGGTTTAACATGAATTATAGTTTTATTGCCATTTTGCATGGTGGATTTCTACCATTAGGACATCTCGCTGCCCAAAGGTAGAACTAACCTCTAGATTTTCACCATACCAATATGGGTCGTACTCAACGTACCAGCTGTTGCAGTGGCATCAGGTCCACTGTGGTTAAACAAATAATTGAGGGTTCTCAGTGCATACTGTTCCAAAGGTTGCCCTCAAGGGATGACATTGCAGAACTGGAGTTTTGTCTGCACCGAATGAAAACTCACATGTGGCTGCGTATTACCCCGGCAAACCTTTGACAGAACACCGGCTGCAATACTTCCTGGATTGTGTTACTGGTTTGTCTCCCAAAAACATACCGAATCAACAGTTAACAATTATTCAAGATTCAGCAATTTCGTGAGTACATCTATTTTCTAGTTATAAAGTCAAAAACATAAATTACTGTAGCATAGGTCAATGTTATTGGTGAACAACCTTAATTACAGTACAGCTGAGTTCATTTCCTTTTGCTCATTTCCTAGCTGCCTGTTGGTTGCAATCGCGGGAAGATGTCTTATCAAGGCAGAGAGAAGACAGTTGTCGCAATTTTTCAACATTTCTTCGCTTCTTCTCTCTGCCTTGACGAAATGATTGAAGGGAACCCACTGTTTTACTTTTCTGAAAAGGAAGATGTTTTAGTTATTACCCTTTTTTAGCGTCTTAATATAATTATATATATATATATAGCACAGCTCGCTTCTAAAACTTTAACAGGTCATTAAGATAAGCTTTGATGGTTACACAAGTTACTCGCATGCACGCTGCTAGTAGCGAAGAAGCATGTTTTTCTCCCCCAAGTAAACAAATCAACCTTCTAATTTTAGGAGTTCACATATGTTCAGGAAGACCCCTTGGTTAGCGAAATCTCATGTGGATCCCTAACTTCGACATTGAGAACCCAACGGATGATGGTAGTCGGATGGAATGCGAACCTTTCGGTTTTGAGTGGTGCACTTTCATGCGTCAACTAGTCGATACATGGAAGTTTCCGGTTATGCATTTTGGCGTTGTGCTTCCGCCCTGGTTTCTTCTGTCCTGGCTTCGGTGGATACCTATGTGTCAAAAGACGAAAGTTGAGTCATTGGACAACTGTTCGAATGACAATCGTCAGTGCTCAGCAACCACGGATTTCAAATCCACCAAAAGTGCAGAGGCGCCACTCGACCTCCGAATGAACAGCCTAGTCCGACACACGTTAGAGGATACCAAATATTTGATGCCACCGGTCGTTCCCGTTACTTGCTTTGGCTGTTTTGGTCACAGCTCAGATGTCACTCCTGATCAACGCACTCCTCAAACCCGACTTACTTGTGGACGAAAACACGAATCAGGTGACGCAGCAAGCTTCGTCAACTGCCCTACCAAATCATTGCCATCAACACTTGCTAGAAGACCCAAGTTGGCCCATGGAAAGACCGGCTCCGGCCCCGGTAAACAGCCAGTGACACGGTGCTACCAGTGTAAAAAGTTATTCCCCACACTACTGGAATTAAATGCCCATTTTGTGCTGGAGCACGCATGCGTCTTGAGAACGGAATTGCAACACACGAAGTCATGGAGGTCGCATGCACTAGAGTCCTTGTGTGTGACCACGGTGAGCCGTTTGCTTTGCTTTTCACGAGCACCCCATATCTTTTGAACTATAGATGTAAAGCAAGTAGGCCGATCTGTTTAAGCAACATGCGGCTGCATCTCATGCAGTATAGGTGGACAAGATCAGTTATAATTTATACAATGAACCATTTCTTATATATAAGTTACTGCACCATTACACAACAACTTGTTTACGCAGGATAAATGCACGCTGATCGTTTACCCCCAATGCACTGATACCCCACGTGCATCTCCTTTGGGGAGCTGACACGTTGGATCACTCAGTGGTGCTGGTTGCCAAGGCCGGCTTATACACAAATAGCAATGAGATTTACGAACTGAATCCTATCTCTGCAACCGACTCAAGCTTGAGAAATGCGGGCTTATTCATCGGGGCCAGAGTAAAATCTAAAACTAACGTGACATTTAGCCTTCGCTTTTAGGGAGCCAAATGTAATAAGCGCGGAGAATAAATCAGTTGGGAGCAAACCCTGGCTGTGATCAATTTCTTGTAGGATGCATTGGTAGTCTAGACTCAGCATCAAGTTACCTTTTACGGTAAGTAAACCACTGCTGTTGGTTAGTACTGAAGCACCAATTATCGAAAACAACACCAAACAAACTGGAAGTTCAAGTAGGAACTGTTTTACTAAAATGGAACATTGTGCATGTCCAATTACAGCGACCACACTGCGTTCGCCAACATTCGCTCTTTCTGTATGTTTTGGCTGGGACTCCTCCGTAAGTCAACCTTGCGCATAAACTCGACAGCCAGAGAAATTTGCTTGCTTACCATGGGGTAGCGCGCAAAAACAAGAAGCCAGAAGCGTAACCAATGTTAGAGATGAAAGACAGCAGGGGCCGAGAAAGCATTGGATTTGAGTTCATGTTTACAACCTCCACATTATATACCAAGGCCGAAAGATTAATACCTTCACGGCGACTAGTCGTAATCGAAAAATAAGCAGTCGCATCGGAAAGTATAGCTGAGGAGTGAAATTTACTGCGGTTATTGCCAATGGCAGCAACAACTTAGCATTTCTGATGCAATGTTCTTTACCGTGAAAAAGAATGTTTACGACCTTACCGATTCAACCGACTCTGGTGGACGATTTGCTTCATATAGTTGATATTAAAGTCCACTTTTTCTCTGTTCTAGGAGTCAGAAACAGCAGCAACCTCCGGGCCAGCAAACTCTCCAGGCTACCCTTGTCCTTATTGTGACTACTTTGCTAAGTGGCCAACGGAGCTTCAAAAACACATTATGGTGCATTCGAAGGAACGTCCGCACCGCTGCGTTGTCTGTGGTTTATCTTACAAATGGAAATGGGACCTTGGTCGTCATTTTGACAAGAGTCACCACAAAGCTATGAACCCATACAAAAAGAATGGATTTTTTGGCAAGGCTCATCATGTACCATGCAAAATGGACACTGACTCCATTGAAGGCCGCAACTTGAAGCAATCGACCCAGCCCCTTGGTGCGCAGCCACCCCACGAGTTGTTCACTGCCAACGGCTGTTGGTTTTCTTTCAGTTCGACGGGATCAGTTCCGATCAAACAGATTTTGACACAGCAGACGCTAAATGTGGATGGTAGTAATACCGCGTGCGGTAACACTGTTGCAACAAAATCCAAGGAGTACTTTTTCCTTGCACCTTCGACAGATCAACGCAGTGGCCACCGTTTCCATTCCACGTGAGTGGCGAATCGTGTGTCATATCAAGTGAGCATGTCAATCACATAAACTCAACCGGAGAACTTGTAAATCAGTAAAATTAACCGAGGTTTTACACATATAAGTATAATCGAGATACACGGGTGCACAGTATCTACCGACTGATCTCAAATGAGAGTGTGCAACTAGCCCAAGTAAATTCTCTGTAACCATACACAGATACGGTGGGGTTTCGAAAGCTATTTGCTTGCATTCACCACCGTGAAGATTCTGACGTTGCTGCAGTTAGTAATAACATATGAACACTACCATCAACTACTTTTTTCAATAGCACACAGAAGAGCTACGGAATTACCCTTCCATTGTAGAATAATCGACATTTCTGAGCTGAACTGTGACTGATTGCAGCAGGAAAGTTTCAAACATTTAGCAAGCACTTTTGCTCCATGTGGATGTGGCAAAACACTGTGGATAGGTTGCACGGTGCAGTTTGAGATTATACCGAAAGCATGCAACTACCAGAGAAATTTGAACGCAAGTCCAATGTAAACAGACGAGCAGGACTGTGATTCCAATGGATGTTTACGTGTGTAGAGTGCTTCACAACACCTGAGAAGATATATACTTTCATAAAACGTAGAGGTGAAGAAACATCTTCATGTCTCTAATATCCATCTAAGCTTGCAACAGTGTCAAATAGCTTTCCAGTTAGAATCAACCCGTAGTCATTCCCATCAATCCCTGAATAATTTGCTCTTTCTGTTGATTCAGAGTTATGAACACCGTTCTCTAGGTGTGCGATTGTTGGTTTTTACCTTCAGGTCGAACTGACCAGTTAGCTTGTGATTGGTATTGTTTGTCCACTGTTGCCTTATTCTCGGGAAATAGAGGCAAACAGGGTTCCAAAGTCCTTGTGAAGATGTCACATAGACCAGCGGTTCATTCAAGTAATAGATTTTCCCCTTTCCTTGGTAGCCACCTTGTTCACGTAACGTTCGCCCAAATCAACTCGACGGTTTTTGCAAGCAAACTAAGTCCCACGAAGGAACTGAATCCCTCCAAGTTCAAGTACACCACAACGCTTGCCACCAGATGTGCTAGTCAGCTACTTACTAACCTCCCCACGGTACGGCAACAATAGAGAACGGCTGAAGGTTTTATGCCAGATTTATTCGGTATGTCGTTTCAAGTTGACCACATCGACCGCATCACTCGCCTGGGTTAGTAATTGGAATTGGTAACAGCGTACTTACCAAGCGCTGCACTGATGATTCTTACCTATTGAACTGACGCGCCGCCTCTTCGAGGTTGTACTCGCGTGACGAAGCTGGGAACTTACCAAGCCTAATTAGCTTAAGCGCTCGCTACCGCATGTGCTAAAGCACCACGCGCTCCACATCGATGGGCTAGAATCCATTGGCGTTGTAGCTTCTGTAGCCGGCGTTTCTTTTCCGCCTACAGCAGTGGTTTCGTATGCTCCTGATCAATCGCCCACTTGATATGCTCACGCCATTCGCGACGATCAACTGCATTGATTCCCAACCTCTAAAATTAACATAAGTTTCTGATAAGCTCACCTTGCTCATGTCTTGGTAACGTAACTTTGATTTTAAAATGTGCCGCTTCGCAGCACTAAGTTTTCCATATAGTAGCTGCATCGGTATCCGCATCGAATCCACGCGGTTGATATGCCAGAACCACATCGGGCGCCGCAGCAAACGTATGCAGTTCACTGCATACATGCTACTGCTGCGCAGGACTTCTTTGTCTGCAACTTGGTCACCCCAACCGATGCGTAGAATCCGTCGCAGACAGTGTTAATGAAAACATAGATTGGTGTATCCTTAGCTTCGTTCCGATAGTAAGCTGATGCTTGTCCCACACTCGATTCTCCAGGTTCCCAAATGCGGCAGCGGCGGATACGCAGCACACTCATCATCTGCAGTTCAGCCGATAGTACACTCCCCAGATAACAAACTCTGAAGGTTGGTTCCAAACCGTTGTTTGTCATCCAACTGATGAGCCGCAAACACCATATCTATGGTCCTGCCGCCAGAACAGAATTTAAACTGCTCTTCCGCCACCTTCGGTCGCACGACCTGGGTGATGAGGCGGTTGAGTAGAAATCGAGTAAACACATTCGCGACACAGCGCAGCAAGTTGCTACCACTATAGTTAGTGGAACATTGCTTGCTTCCCTCACCCCCTGTATAACGGTATCACAAGGATGCTGTTCAAGTCAGTCGGTACCAGCTCTTCATTCCACACTCGTTACATTAAGTGTTACAACGCAAGTCCGCCGTAGCTCAAAAAGTCTGGCGGTATCCCGTATGCCCCGGCGCACTTGCAGTTACGCAACTGAGCTCTGTGCGTCTCATGCAGGGTTAGTGTGTAGGGAAGACATATCGTCACCTATCATTGCTGCAGCCCATACAACATATCCCGGTCAATCTCTGATCAGATAACACGAAATGGTTCCATCTCGCAATACCAGCCTTCTCATTGTCTTATTTAGATTGATACAGGGAACTCAGTGCCTTAAATCCCTGAACGGTGGTTCAAGAGGCAGTCGATGCTTGTTCGCTAGATCTGCATGCTCTATACAATTTGCGTGCAGGCAGCAACCGAGGTAGTATCGAGCAGCTTCCTCAGCGGCCTTCTCAGAGTCAAAAAAATATTTATGTTGGTGGCATTAGGCCTTTCATTCCATCTGCTCCGCCTTCTTTGTCCACCATGCATTCTTGTTGCGACGGAGTTATCGAGTCAATCGCCGTCGATGTTTGCGAAACTGACTAAACTCGTCGGAGTAGGCAGGGTCCACCGTACATACAGCGAATGCTGCTTTCTTCTCCGACACCAATTTGTCAATGTTCGCAGTGTTGTCATCAAACCCATGGGACCGCTTACAGTTTGCCAGCCCGATCGCTTCCCCTGCAGCAGCCGTCGCCAGTTGGCGGATGTGGTGCTACAGTCCTCCGACCGACGCGATGTGGTCCATATCGCCAATGCAGGTAGCCATCGCCTTCCCGATTTCCATCCTCTTCTCAGCAGTAACTAAGGGAATAACTTTAAATTTGCGCCAATTCACAGCAGGTGAGCAATACACAGATTTACGAAAATATATGTACAGTTTGCCCCGCAACAACATGTGCTCAGTGCCTCACTCAGTTCCGCGCAGTACGCGTGTCGTGCGCACTTCACGCATGTCACGCTGACGTACGATGACATAGTCGAGCAGGTGAGGGTGACCACTCCGTGGGCACGTCCAAGTAGCCATGTCACTCGCAACCAGTAAAAGCTGGGCGTTCTTGATCGTCAGGCAGTGAGTGGAGCACAATGAGAGTACCCCATCACCGTTTCCGTACAGACCGATTATGTCTGTCCACACAGCAGCATCACGTCCAAGGCACGCGTTGAAATCCCCCAACAGGAATAGCCGGTCGTTCCTCGGTACAGCCCGTATCACGGAGTACAAGTGAAGGACTGATCCCTCGTGTCATCAGGATAACATATGGTGGTGCTAATAAAAGTGGTTAATTTACTACTTCTAAGTCGTAAACGTAGAGTCATCAGTCGTGGGTTGATGCCAGTCGGCTTTGCCACCAGCCGGCAATTTAAACGGTTGGATAATTCAAATCTGACCCCATGTTCACGTGGTGCTGTGGTGGCTCTTCCCACCCAATAGAACGTGTAACCAACACCAGCCTCAAGCAGTATGCGTTGATCAGCAAGCCGACTCTGACTGGTTGCGGCAATGTCGATCCAGTAGCGCATCAGTTCCATCGCGACTAGTGCAGTGCGTCCCTCGGGTCACTCACTCGTGCTCGGGTCGAGCGGGGTGTGCACCTACCAGCACCAATGTTGGGAGCTTTGCGCAGAGGAATACGATTGCTCCAGGCCATCGCTCGTGTGGTAACTTGTATTGCAGGTAGTAGTGGGCTAGGTGGAATGGGGAGAGGATACTATGTGCAGGGGTATAAGAAAGAAGGTTGCGTGTTTTCGCTTATCCATCTCACTACATGCTGCAGATAAGGCGACACATTTTGCTCCTCCACGACGGCCGATACAGCAGGACAAATTAAGTATGTGTGTAATTCCTAGTTTGGGTTTGGATTGGTGTATTTCCAGAGTGTCCAGACATGAGAAGGAGAACTACCTGGGTCCTCAGACAAAGCTTTCAATCAAGTGTACTCGCGAGAAGCAGCGGACAGTGCGCCATGAGTTAGTGAAGCGACTCAAGCGGAATTGTGTCCTGGTTCTTAGCTAGAAGAAGAGTGTAAGTCAATTTCCACCCAGCGGTCGCTACGAGGAGGCATCCCGGACATGAGTCCACGTCACAATATCAGAAGCAGCGGATCAACGATCTGTCATGGTGTGGCCAACATAAGCCTCAGTGAGTCATGCACTCACCTGTCACCTTCGAAGATATATGCATGCTAATCCACTTTGGTTCGATGTTAACCCAAATTTGCGAGAATTTTTACGCATTAACGTCATTTACTGTCGTCACAAGTGGAAAGGCGAGAGAAGGTACTCGCCTGCTTCCTCCGGACCTGCTGGTTTAAATCCCACCTACCATATCAGTCGTTTGCAACTAGGTCTCAGCAGAGTGCTATCGGGAGTTGACAAAGAAAATAGTGGAGCAACGCTGAGATTTCATTGATTTAAATGGGATTCAGCATAGCTCTACGCTATCGGCCAATTAAACCCAATGGGTTGAGTATTTGGAGGTGCTTCTGGCAGGTCTTTTCACTGCATTTGGTACGTTTCTGATATTCACTTGCAAGGTATTCCCGATAGCCCCTATCGGCTTGAGCTTTTGTGTCTGTTGTTTGTCATATTCTTAAAATCAGTTAACTGGGGTCGTCCGAGGGCTGGCCACCCAGACATGATGGTACCACAGTACATTTGCAGCGTCGCATAACATATGCTTTGGGGCCTTCAGTTTGTGACGATGCCTAGAAATGCGGGTGTAGGAACTACACATGTGTCATTCCTGCATTTTTGTGGTTACAACAAATGGG